TAATAGATGGGCGTAAGTTCACCTGTGGATCTGCAATCACGGCCACTTTTAGATAATCAACCTGATGGAGCATAGAAGTGTGCATCAATCTCAAACAATCGCTTTTAAGCACAATGAGACCACCTCTAAGAATTGAGGCTGTCTAAGTTTTCCACCAGGAAGATATTTAATTTTAAAAAAATGCCAGAATAATTAAAATTCTATTCGATCAAACCATCATGCCTTCACTTAAGTTTCCCAACCTTGCCTATAAAGAGTTGCCAAACTCTCACCAAAACAAAATAAAAGGAATTCCCAACAATTCTTTCAAGCAATGTTAAGCACAAAGATGGGCCTTCAGTTTAGGATTATACTGATACAGCAGAATACTGGCAAAGCACCAAACAAGCAGACACTATCACCAGTTTAATTGCTCAAAGATAGATAATCACCTAATGGAATATTAACGAAGTACCAAAATAGTAGACATTGATACCAATGTAATTGCTTAAAGATAGACCATCGGGTCTGAATATGAACAAAGAGGGAAAAAAGAGTGGGCACCATCATTTCCTAAAAGATGAGAAACGGGAAGCCCCCTGACCCGAAAAATGACATAAAGTACCGGTTTACATCGCAGTGTGTGTGAAAGAAGCCCAAAAAAAAAAAGGCTTCTTCTTGTTTTTTCGTCACAGTTTTTTAGTTTTTGACAATTCACTCCTTTATTCATCACTAGATTAAACTTGGAAAACGTTACGCAGCTGGTGTCTTCAAACTTCGTAGCATAATGGCACCCACTAATTTTCTTATCGATTCAATATGATTATTATAGGCTTCATCAGCAAAGATTTATCATTAAACTCCAAATTCTTCAACAATGCCATGAATGATCTTCAGATCAGGAAAGCCAGTCAAACCACCACGAAACCGGGCAACGGGAATTCCTAGGGTAAAGTCACAAAGTTCCCGATTCCAGAAGGCGAAAATGGAAAGCAACCCCAAAATCATCTGCAATAGAGGAATTGTACCGTAGAATTAGAAGAGGAAGAGCGGAGATGAGGCCATGAACAAGTGAAGAGGGAGGGAACCCAATAGGCAAACATCTCGCCGTAAAGCAGTACTAGCGCCCATGCTATACATAGAAGCACAGTCAACTCCAGCTGCTTCATCACCTCGCAGCTCCCTACTTTCCTTCTGATTTTGGAATCTGATGAACCTGCTGCTCCGCTCGGGAGAGATCAAAATACATGAACAAGAAAATATAACTTCTATTCAACATTTAATTATTGAGTCAGTTTTTAAATTTGCTAAGATAGCATTCTGGCATGGTGACATTATCCGTGTCAAGATTAAGAAACTAAGCTAAATTTTTTATATAAATTTAAAAAACCAAAATGTGCTTTGGCCAACAAATTACTCTAGTGCTTTTAACCTATTTTCATATTTATAATCTACATGTTTCAATTTGGTTGAAAAATATTTTAAATAGATTAGTTTAATTGCCTAAAAATTTATCTGGTTGCAAGAAAGAAGTTGGAAAGAAAAAAAAATCATGGATTCCATCAACTATATTTAGGGCTTGAATAAATTTTCTAACCACTTCCTACATTGAATAACAGTAAATCCATTGCTCCTCACACCTTTTTTTTTTTTTTTGCCAGACCTCACACTTAATTTTAAAAGGTTGATTCTCACTTGCAAAAAAAAAAAAAAAACTTTTAGCACTTTATTAAAAAAGAAGAAGAAGAAGAAGAAAGAAAGAAAATAGAACACTTTTTTCAGTTCTTGCCTCTAGGTATCCAATTCTGAATCTATAATTATATCCACATTTAGGACCCGCAAATACCAAGTAATTCTATTTTGTAAATCACAACAAACGTTAGGGCACCTTTGTTTTAAAAGGAAAATGAAAGTGTAGGAAAAAAAAGGGGGAAATGAAAGAACATGTGGGTAAAACCATGCCAATGCCAATTACATCCTCTCTTAATGTGAAGCTAATCACCTCATTATTCAATCCAAGGGGATAAGTACTGATAGACAAAATGTCAACATTGCCATTGTCATGAGTCAATTTGGCAAGGCAATGAGAATATTCATCAACTTTTCTGGGGAAAAAAAAACCCATCTCCTTGTTATAAGATCAAGATGTTGCTAACTAATTCATACATGCCAATAAAAACAGTTAAAAGCATAATTTATCATAAAACTCAAATGATTTTTAATATTATCCTCATTAACTACACCAAATTCCAACATCATATTAATTTCTACTCTTTCACTATCCTTATTAAATATAGACATATATGAAAAAAAAAAATTTAATACTCATTGAAACTATCAAAACTTCTTATAAAAAGGATCAAAGAATTTTTCTAGATGACCTCCTATGATAAGGGCCAGCAGGAATACATAATAATATTAACCTCGGTCCTTAATATAAACTAAATCTTATTACTTCCAGTCCTTAATATGAGATATTGTTTTTTTTGTTCTAAATATAAAACTTCAATATACTTTTCTTTCTTATATTTATCTATTTTTTTTAAGATAATCCTTCTAATAATAGTAGTTCTAATTAATAAACTTAATTAGTAAGGATATTTTAGGAAAGGCAACATCTAATTACAAATAACTAACTTAACTTATTTTCTTAATTTACTTAAATTAGTTAACTAACTTCTAAATTTAAAACGGAGATAGTATATTTTAGACAGAATGTTGTAGGTTATTGTTTAGTTAAGTTCGTGGTGTCTCCAATCAGATCTCTGAAGTTACGAGCAGAGGCAATATCACTGGTAGCCATGTTGATTGCTTCGAATGAGTTGCTGTCTGAAACCCCTCTAGCCGGCAAAGTGTAAGACGGTCAAGAATACCATCTATTTCCGCTTGTAAGTGGTAGCAGGGCCAAGCTTTTCATAACGCATGCATAGTCCGATCGAGGTTAAAATATATACGCGGGGGACAATTTTGCTGTGGACAGAATGATGGCTGAATAATAGATGCGTTTGCGATGAGCAAAACAGGGCATGCTAAATGCAGAAAAAGATATTCCAAAGCAATCAGGCCACTAATGCACGCATGCTGTATAATAATAAAACACTGTCGGATCCTAATACTACGTTTGATTCTTAATATAAGAACTAGTTAACTAATTTGAGTAAATTAAGAGAGTTTGTTAAGTTAGTTATTTGTAATAAATACATGTTATATTCTTCATAATATCTTTGTTAATCATATGTATTAACCAGAACTATTATTTGATAAAACCTTTAACACGTATAACTTTTACAAAAACTATATTGAAAAAAATAGATAAATATAAAAAATAAAATATATCAAAGTATTATATTTAGGATCAAATTTAATGTCAAATTAGTTTTTATATTAATAACCGGAAAGAGGAGAGAGGTAGTATAAGATTTACTCCTCTTTGGTCTTATTTATAGGGAGAGAGAGATTTTTTTTTGTCCTATTTATAAGTCATTTCATTAAATTTTTTACCATAAATGTATTATATTGTTCTTCATTTATTATGGTGGAGATATTTTTTTTTAAAGGTGTATATATTAAATAGAAGTAAAATTGAAAAGTTATTATATTTTAATGAAGAGTTAATACAGTTTAATATTTTTCTTGATCTGTATGAAACATATTAAAAGTGTTTTATAAATAGGATAAGAAGAGTATTTTGTAGTTCAAATGCAAAGTAAAAGCAAGATCTGACGTTAAAAACAAAAGGTAGTGTTAAATAAAAGAAATAGAAACATTGAAGCATGCATTGTTGTTTTATTTACATATAAAAATCTTGAGCAGTGCATATGGTTTGTTGATGACACTTTGTGGTCCCTGTCTCCGGTTTTCTAATCCCTGCGCTGATTTCGGCCATTAATCTCCAATTTCAAAGGCATGCAGTCCAACACGATTAGCAAATTGAAGGGGTTAATAATAATGGGTGGCTTTCATCAAAGGGTCTTTGGATTTGAGGGGAATCTCGAGGTATATCATTAGGTACCCCATCGCAGGCGGCAAACATCATTGCAGGTATATTCTAACTTACCTGTGAAATAAAATGATATAGCCATCACTTAAAATACTCATTTGATGGACTAATGTGCTCCATGTTTCCACCTAACATATAAACATTGCAAAATTTTGAGAACAATATTTGAAATATTTAATAGTATCATTTTCTCTAAAAAAAAATGTATGACATATATATATAGAGATTATACCACTTCTTATCCTTAATATAAGAATTAGTTTGATATTTAATTTGATCCTAAATATAAGATTTCAATCTATTTTGTTTCTCATATTTGTTTGTTTGTTTTTAAATACTTATTATAGTAGCTGCACATATTAAAAATTTTATCAAATATAATTTCTATCTAATAAACATGATTAGCAATCATGTTCTAAGAAAAATAATACTCCTCTAGTTTTAAATATAATACCTTTTTTATAATGTAGTTTTAAATTACACTATAAAAATGATTTTATATTTAGGACCGGAAGAATACCTGTTTATAACTTACTTAATCTGTTTAAATTAACTAGCTACTTTAAAGATCGAGATAGGGAATAGATTAACAAAAGAAGCAGAAAATGCATGAGGTCAGGGACAAGATAAGGAACCGAAGTCCCTTACAAAGTCGGGGATTTGCTATTTTGAAAGAAAATGCTTTGAGCCTCTTTTTAAGGTTAACTTGATAGCATTCATTTAAGAATACCCATTCCTTTCCTTTTAATAAATTATATTGATTGTGATTATAATCTGGCTTTTTCTTTTTTGTCCAAAGACCAAGGAGAGCTGGGATCATAGAAGATCAGCTAATCATTGTAGGGGATAAGGGAAGGGATCCGCTTTATCACTATGTAAATGGGCGTGGCTTCTGTGGTGGGAACCGGGAGCAGAAAAGGATCTGTGCAAATTATTACTGTTGGCATATATGATTGGTGGTTAAGCTTTTTCTCTTCTCGGGGTCTATAAAGTTCAAATGTTTACCTTAGCGCATGACAGTTATCCAGTGAAGACGCCATGGGAGGCAGTGCTGGTCATAGCAATCTCAAGAATGCTCTCATAGCATTCTTGGTTCCTCTTCCCTCTATTCTCTTTTATCTTTCATTCCTTAAGAACTATGAATCTGCAATTCGCATCGATTCTGGCCCCAATCTGTGGGCATGGTGCTATCACCATCCTCTGTTATTGGCCAACGTACTCTTCTTCTTCAACGTCAATGTCCTCTTCTGGATCATCGGCCTTCTCAAATCTAGCCACTGGGTGCGTAACGCGTTTTCTTTTGATTAGGTTTTCAGCTTTATTTCTCCATTGTATGGAAATTGACTTTTGCTTGTACAGATGATTGACCCGTATTGGACAGTTATACCGGTGATGCTTGTTCATTACTATGCGGCTCATCCTTTGGCTGAGTTTAATTGGTGGAGGTCGAGGATCGTGATCTTGTTGACATGGGTTTGGAGTATTAGGCTCAGCCATAACTACTTCAGGCGAGAGAAATGGCAATGGGGTGCCAGAGAGGATTGGCGCTTCACCGATTTGAGCCATCAGTATGGAAAGCATTGGTGGTGGACTTCTTTCTTCGCCGTCTACGTCTCTCAGCAGGTTAGTATTTCTCGGTTTCTTTCCCTTCCACCTCTGTTAAACCAATTTGGAAAGAAACCCCCTTAACCTGTTTACTAAATGGCCTGTACTACATAGATACGAGACAGCATGCTTAAATATAATTTGAAATGTGGTATCGTGTAGATGTGAGTATTCAGTATGTATTAATTTTCTCAAATGGTCTGTTTAGCATGGGGCACAAGAAAGAAAGAAAGAAAGAAAAGGAAAAAGGAAAAAGAAAAATGAAAAAAGGAAAGGAAAAAGAAGAAATGAGGTGTTTAAACGTAATTTGAAATATCATGTCATCTTATTTCAACACGAGTGTTGATGCTTCATGCTTATTTGTCTGATTGCCTGTTTAGCAGATACGAGACAACAAAATTATGATCTTCAAATACAATTTGAAGTTATGTGTTGTATTTCCTACTGTCAGATGTGAATTAGACATCTTACCCTTATGTTTGTGAAATAGCAATGCTTCATAGCTGTTTGGTCCAAATGTTATGTCATTTAAATGGGTGCTTCATCCTTGGTGTCTTGCTCATTTGCAGGTGTTTATAATTGCGTTGTCCCTTCCATTCTATGTTATTCATACGATGAACCAGCCTTTGAGCATCTGGGACTTGGTAGCCATTGTCGTCTGTGTATGTGGCATTGCCATAGCATACTTTGCCGATACACAACTCTATGACTTTGTGAGTAGAAACGACAAGCTGAAAGGGCTTGGTAAGCCTGTGGTCCCTGTGCTTGACAGTGGCTTGTGGTATTACTCCCGGCATCCGAATTACTTCGGAGAGCAGCTATGGTGGTGGGGACTAGGTTTATTTGCCTGGAACCTGGGACAAGGATGGGCCTTTGTTGGGGCATTAGTAAATACCATGTGCTTGGCTTATGTGACTACGCTTGTTGAAGACCGCATGGTTAAGCAAGCTAACAGAGCAGAAGCATTTAGGCGTTATCAGAAGAAGACTTCGGTGTGGGTCCCTTGGTTCAAGTCCTCTGCTTTGGAAGAAAAACATAAGGATTCTTGATCTTTGTTTGGTTAGTTATAACCGCACAAGAATCATGTTGGTGCCTTTTGAGGTTTGTGTACTGTAGTTCACTGTCGTTTATCTGATTTGAGGAAGTCCTGAGTTGTAACGATAACAGTTATATGGATTAAGATCATAGTGCTGTTGCAAAAATTTGAGTGCATCTTCTACATCAGTTATATATACCATATGATTAGATGGAGTAGCATAGATTAAATCCATAATATCCTAAAGAGAGAACATTTCTCGTTGAATCTGGTTTGCCAGGTTCAAAATTAGTTCAGGAGCTACCTGATGAAGATGAATGTTGGTTATGCCAATGAATATATTCTCTCTTTAGATGGCCCTTTCAGGCTTCTTTCATGGAGGCCTGAAGCCATACATAAATATTTGGAAGAAAAATAATAAAAAATTATTTCATGATCATGATCTCAAAATTAGATTCTCTATAACTGCAGTTAACGAGAGAGTGACACAGATTTATTTTATTTTTCTCTATCTCCTTCCAACTACACTATATGCAATCAAATTGTGAATACAGAGAATTTAAATTCCATGAATGTATAAATTTCTGATCTTAAGAGTTAAAATGGGCATGATACTACCTTGATGGCTAATTTCTCATGATACCAAGTAAACTAGCTATAAATTTTCAGTCTTTTATTGAGCTACTCGATCCAACTAGATTTTGTATTGCTTTTTTTTTTTTTTTTGGAAACTGGATTTTGTGTTGGTGAGAAACCCGAATTGCACTAGCAGTCAATATATAACATATAAAAGTTGAATCCTTTTATTTGTCTGGGAATGCGTCAGTATTACTGCAAGTGCTAATGCTAATAATCAGTAATAATTCTATGGAACCATGGGATGATCGTAATCTGAAAACAAGCACATAACATCTTGAAAAACATGACATTTGTTGAAGTGCCTAATTTCGTTGTTCGACTCCTACAGAAAACTTTGATGTCTTTCCTCTTTTATGCTACAGTATGTGGAGGAGGAACGCTTTACCACATAGGGGGTTCAAAACCTCAGGAAAAGGGAGCCATACTTTCAAGAGTTAAAATTTAGTTCAATTATTGCATTTTCTTGCTAGTAGATTAATAGCTGAGACGTTGATTCTGCTAAGGTTTTCCAGGAGTAAAGGCTGATGTGATAGATTATGATCACTGAGACGGGTGCATATGTGGTCCTCTTTAATTCAGTGTCTATTCCTGAAGACTTTTTAGCTCATCTAACCACAGCTTGATTGAAATTATCTCAATTATTAATTGGAGATGTGATTAGAAAGAAAAGGATTAGTCCTCTGTTCAGCATAAAAGCATCCTCTTGTGAGATAAGTTTTACAGAAGGATCTGCAATTAACATGGGGTTCATTGAGTAGGCCCTATTTATTTAGTTTCACTTATGTGAATCTCAGATCAAGTGTTTGTTCCTAATTTACAAATTCACTTTGAATATATGTGAAAAATATATATATTTATATATAGGATCCAGTCCCGGTCATTCTACTGCATAAAGGGAGGGGGGTAAAGAATACTACGGAGATAGGTATCAAAGTGCGATGCTAAGTTTTATCGTATCATGGTTCTGTTGATTTTGATTAAGATAATAAAGAGGACAGCTTTTCACTATTTTGCTCACAGGCTGCTAAAAAACAGAGTAACTGTTATGCACAGAATAGTGACAATATAGAAAGCATGACAGGTTGGAATATACTTATGTATCATAGTTTTTATATTTAAAATCATTTTAAATAATTGTAGAATTAAACATTTAAACTCTGAAAAAAAAAAATTGAATTTAGAAAATTTAAGATAACAATATTTCTGCATAAATTTAAATATGAACTGTAATGTTCCCATTCCATGCTTTGAATTTTCAATTTTGACGTGAACGCCAAGCTCATAATTATCAGCCTTACCGTTCTCGTTCTGAAAAACAATACAAGTAGGGAAAATACAACTTTAAAAAAAATCAAAACCACATGGATGTTATGTTCTGTAATAAAATCACAAAGTGCAGTGCAAATGATTCTTAAAAAGGTTTGACCTCATTCAATAAGAGATAGAGATCCCAACTTGCGTCTTTTTATTTTGTTTTTAAATAGTTGTATTGTTGTTCCCTTGGGATGAAGATTGCAGATTCAAGTTCATTAATATTGTAGGACGTAATAAAGAAAAGAAAAAATAAAGTGGGCACAAATAAGAAAAGCATAAAGAAGTGGATCACATGCACGGATGAGCTCAACTTTCGGACAAAAAACAGTACAGCCATGAAAATGACGATGATTAATTCAAACAAAGTTTACATTAAAAAACTTCATATGGTTGTCGGCATTTGTTTGGTTTGTGATTAGTCATCTTTTTCGGCTCTGCTCCTTCACTTGCAATAATTGTTGAGTGAATTGAATTCCATTTAATGCCCAATATCTCTCTACAAAAAAGAGGAGACCAGATCTTTGTTTTGTACGTAAAATATATAACATTGAACCACCTACCCAGCTACACTACCATATACCTTAATCATTAATCAAGTAATTTTTAATATTCAACGGAATATATCGAAACTCCTAGAAGCTCAACTTACCATTCGTTTATCAGATTTTATATACGGCTAACTGTTCTGTTATAATGGTTCTGTTGACTTTGATTATGTTGTGTCTAATATTAAGCCTTAATTCCTGTCTTCATAATTAAAAAAAGGATTTTTAAGTGAAAATTAACCTTTTTAAGGTTTGTTTTGTTAAATTTCTTGATCGTGTATGTGCTTCACGAGGGAAGCGGAAGAAACTGGAGCTGACTCTGATTGTTAGAAATTCGTCATCTCCAGAAGTATCCGTTCCCATCCCTCCTTCGTCGATTTTATCTCTATCCTTTTCACACATAAACATCGAAACCTTCTTGTTTGGATTCACACTTTTTTTTTGGGCTTTCTTCATTTACTTTCCGTACGACATCAACTGGGTGATATTGATTGCTTCACCTCCTCCTCCGGAATTAAATAAATCTCTCTTTTCAGTTTTCTGAGCATCATTTGAATCATTTACAACCCTTTAACACTCACCACCTAACCAAGATGGTTTCGAATAGTAGAAGCGGTTCTGGTATTAAGAGCACCAGGAAGAAGACGTTGGGTTTTGACTTCATGGCGGTGCCGGTGGCATTGATAGTGTGTTCCTTCTGTCTGCTTCCGATTTGCATATTGGCGGCGAAACAATCTAACCCAATAGAGACGCAGAAGCTGAGGTTCGGTGAGAATGGAGAGTTCAAGATATTGCAGGTGGCGGATATGCACTATGCAAATGGCGAGAGTACACTTTGCTTGGATGTGCTTCCTTCTCAGAATGCTTCCTGCTCCGACCTTAATACTACTACCTTTATTCAGAGAATGATCCTTGTCGAGAAGCCCAATCTCATCGTATTTACTGGTATTTAGCTCATATTTTTTATTTGTCACTTCTGTTCCTATTGAAAAGTTTGTCGTAAATTACTGATGTAGCTTTTCTCGCTGTCCTTTGAAGCAACATACCTGTAACTTTCATAGAAACACTGCATATTTTGCTCATGTTATCTTCTGTATTTGTGCTTCTTACTCGCATCCTTCTTCTGGTTTCTGGAAACAATCTCCTTCCTTTGATACTTTCGAGTGAAACATGGCATCAGGAACAGTGAAATCCCAATCATTCAATAGTTTGATGACAGAAATGAACCTTAAAACACGTTCTCGTACTCAGCCTATTGAAACAGTATACTAGAGAACGAACAAAGATTTAATATATTATCCTTGTGAAAGGATCCACGCGTATTTTAGTAGTTAATACATGCGGAATAGTAAAATCGATTTATCTCTATGATTTGTAAATCAGTACGTTGATTGTGTTTGGTATGTATGAAACAAAGTATTTGATTTTGAGTTTTCGGTCGCACCTGTAGTGAAGCCAGTTAGTTACATGTTTGTTTGATATCCCATAAAGGTTCGTGTTCATTGTGGTGTGACAGGGGATAACATCTTTGGATTTGATTCCTCGGATTCGGCAAAATCATTGGATGCTGCATTTGCTCCAGCAATTGCATCCAACATTCCTTGGGTAGCTGTTTTGGGAAATCATGATCAGGAAGGAACCCTCTCTAGGGAAGGGGTGATGAAACATATTGTGGGGTTGAAAAACACTCTTTCTAAACTCAATCCTTTAGAAGTACACATCATTGATGGTTTTGGGAACTATAACCTGGAGGTCAAAGGAGTTGAGGGAACTGAACTTGCAAACAAATCAGTTCTCAATCTCTACTTTCTTGATAGTGGTGATTACTCCACTTCCCCTTCCATTCCTGGCTATGGTTGGATCAAGCCCTCCCAGCAATTTTGGTTCCAACGAACATCTGCAAGACTTCGGGTACTTTTTCATCATTTCCCTGGATATCATTTTAGTTTAGTCTCTAAATGGGTTCATCCTGATCTTCTTGATTGTTGCTTCAACTGCTGCTTATGGCTGGAAATTTCTGTGGATCACCGGATCCTAACTTAGCTGATGTGGAACCAAAAGGAAACACGCAATGGGCAATCTCAAAACAACTCAATAATCGGATTTTTTAATACCAATAAATATTAGAGGAAGGTGGCTGGTGTAACTGGCTGGCTGCCTATGTATAGACAGAGTATAGGTTATGTCTGAAATGATAAAGTAGCCCATAGTCTGAACTACTTTATCCAAATCCTTTATTTAATCCTGATGCCCAAGTCAAGAACCTTAATGAACAAGACCTAATTGAATGGCTTACTATAGTTGTATCTGCACCTCTAGCTCTTTGCTAATATGTCAAAACTTAACCCCTGGTTGTTATCTTTTGATCAACCACTTTCCTCTTTGTTCTGCAGAGAGCCTACATGCACGAACCAATGCCTCAGAAAGCGCCTGCTCCCGGTCTTGCATACTTTCACATCCCATTACCAGAATATGCTTTTTTTGACTCATCAAACTACACAGGTGTAAGACAGGAAGGCATTAGCTCGGCTTCCGTGAACTCTGGTTTCTTTACAACGCTAGTCGAAGCTGGAGATGTGAAGGCAGTTTTCACTGGCCATGATCACATTAATGACTTCTGTGGCAAGCTAACAGGTATACATCTTTGTTATGGTGGGGGATTTGGATATCATGCTTATGGAAAGGCTGGGTGGTCTAGAAGAGCAAGAGTGGTCGTAGCTAGCTTGGAGAAAACAGTGAAGGGAACTTGGGGAGATGTCAAGTCAATTAAAACGTGGAAACGCCTTGATGATAAACATCTTACTGGCATTGATGGTCAGGTCCTGTGGAGCAAGAGCCTTCATGGTACGCCATCCTTGGAATAGTGAGCCTTTTTCTTGCTCTTAGCTTATACGGAAGACTGAAAAACAAG